TAGTGTATTTGTGTTTGTGTGTTTGGGACTTCGATATTTCCGTGAAACGAGATTTACGTGATTTTCAGGTAGGCAAAAAAAATCTATATGGCGTCACCGAGCGTGGTGGAAGAACTCCTCAAAGATTCAAAATTGCTCAGCGCTTGCTGCAAAAGTGGGACGGTAATTAGATTCTTTTACATTAGTTTATGAATGATTATATGTAGCCTTTTTTCAGACGGTGACATCAGCATTTTGAGTCTGCAAACAGGTGTTAATATTTTGTCATAAATAAAAAAAAAACAACTCATACTCGTTTCTACCTTATAATAATTAATTAGTCAATATTTTACAATTTTATGAGTAGGTATAAGTATTAATTTAAACACGTGAATTTATATCTTCCTGATAAAATTAATTAATTGACTGCTTCTATATATACTTCCCATTATTCTCATTAAAAATTCACGTACAAATTACATTAAAAGCATTTTAAACAAAACGGAATGTCACGTAAAAGTTACCAGATGTCCAGTAGTTTTCACCCCGATTTCACGTAAGCAGTACGTGGAAATCAGGTCTTATTTACCTGATTAATCACGTAGACGTGTAATTCCGGTAAAAGTTACGTGAAAAATAGGGTAAACGAAAACCACCTATGTTTTCAGGTCAATCGGACGTGAAGATTTTTCAGAGTGTAGAAATACTAGAAGAAGAGATGGGCGGAGAGAATGTTTTGAGCCAAATGAACTGTCAAAATCTGAGCCAAACGACCATTCCCATTAGATTTTTTTCCGAGGATTTGCCATTCTTAATTCTTAAATTTGAGGGTATTGCAATCGAACAGAAATTCGATCACCTTTATGTTTCGTGTGCTTCTCGAATTCAACTAGTTTTTGGAATCAAAAGCAATATTCTAACTCTATTGATTAATTGATCTTAGTTGGTTAATTAATGGCACCAAAAAATGTGCAAAATATTGCGTTGCAATCAATTATTAATTTGCACGTAAATCGAATCAAAAGTAAAAGTCATGTGAAATACTAAGTTTTAGCCGAGGGGGACGACTCTATATACGATGCAGAAAAGATTGTGTTTTGCTGTGGCTAGCTGCACGCACGCTGAGTAGATAGAAGGAAGATTTATGTCGATTTTGAAGATTTCCTGCAAAAAGATGAAGCACGATGCAAGTAGATGCGAGAAATGATTTTTGATGATTTTTCGAAGATTGATTCGCTAGTGTGAGATTTTTTTAGCATCTAGAATTGAGATTTAGATGTGTCGCCCCCCTCGGTTTTAGCAAGGGTTGCAAAATAATTTAGATACAAATCCCTGCTGCCGAATTGTATTCTGTTTTTTCCGCCCATCTCTCCCTCTGAGTATTTCTAGTAGGAATGTGTTGACGTGACACTCGCTTTGATGGAAGCCGAGAAATCCTGTGCACTTCCACGAGGAATCACTGGGATATTGGGTAAGAGGGTTTGGATTGCAGCAGAGTTCGTTTTGGTAAACGATAAGCTGAATTGATGTCCTAACGATATGAAGAGGATACTGTATAAATAAATAAAAAGGAATGATATCACTCAAATAACCAAGTGGAGCTGGAAAGGGATTTAGAATTTTAATGATAATGGTTATGGTAGTTAGTAAGGTGCATGGATGGTTTTGTAACATTGATCAACTTTATGTGGAATATATCGTCTGTAAATTTATGATTACCAATTCACGATATATTCCACGTAAAGTTGCCGACAATACAAAACCATCATGGACCTTACTGACTACCATAACCATTACCATTAAAATTCTTAAACCATTAGTAAAAAAGTTCTAATATAATTTTCTTTCCGAAAATGTGTGGAGAAAACAAGAATTTGGAATGGTAAAGAAGACAAGAATTTGGAATGGTAATGGTTCTTAACAACACATTATTTGTAATACACTGGACAGACTATGGCTTATATCATGTAATATAGGCTGTCTTGCAATGAGCACTCATACATAGGATTCCCAGTGAAAACTAGATGTATGAGTGCTCACTGCAAGACAGCTTATATTACATGATATAAGCCATAGTCTGTCCAGGGTATAAGGTTCATTTCCAAAAAAAAAAAAAAACAATATATGAGGTTAAAAGTTTATCACACAAACGTTCATGTAAAGTTCCATAACCGTTTCAGTTAAAGTTTAGCAGGGATTATAAACAATTTTTAACCATTTTCGGTAAGGTCAAGTTATGATTCGCGTTTATACGGATTTCCATGGTCATCTGGGAGGAGGTTCGCATCTAGTGCTTTTCCCAGGAACCGTTCACGGCCACCAGCTACCGCCCGTCCAGTCGTGGGCGTATCCAGCGAGGCATCCTTCAGCTTGCTCACAATCTCCGACACTGGTGAGAGACCAGCAGACGAGCACTTTTGCAAACCGTTAACTTGGTAATTCACGGTAACGTCGGCCACCGAATCACCACCAAATCTCGTGACGGACACATTATCAGCACTTTCTTCGGCTAATTTGCCAACCGGATCGTGTTCAAACTCGCACATGGTAACGAGAACACACCGAAAGCGTGACATCCGAACATTGTGAACTGGCCTCCTGGGAGGCAATGAAAATCACAAGCACACTTACACACCGTTGGTTACAAAAAACACCCGTGCAAAAAAACGGATCCAATAAACGTCGTTCTCGCGAAAGCAAACGTCTTCGAACGGCAAAAAAAAGGAACGCGGTGAGCAATTTTGTGATACGGAACTTCCACTGAAAATAAACCGGGAATGTACGAATTTCACCTCACCCAACTGCGAAACACGTTCAGAAGCAAAATAAGCACGCGTAAATAAACTGAAATTAAAAATTAGTCGCAATGCCACGAATTTCTCGTCGGGGAGAAAAATCAAACAACGCAGATTGCGACATCTCTTCTGATGCTTGCAAACATAATGAATCACGTTTTCTTTCTCCCGAATGAACACAAATAATGGCGTATCAATTAAAAAGATCACTGATCAATGACTGGATGTTCCAAAGGACCTGGTCCTGATGGAATACGTATATCATCACTGAAACTAGTTTTTTTTTCGGCGTATCATTTCAGATTGTAAAAAGCAGTTAATCCAGTAAGACATTTTACATTAGATCACGGTAAGAGGAACGCCCAATTTGAAATGATGCATGGAAAAAAATGGATTTGCATTTTTGTAAAACACACCAGAGTAAATTGCGCATTAAGATTCTCAATTTAGCTAAATTTCGTTTAGTGCAATAGTTTGTTTTAAATTCTATTTTGAGCTAAACAATTTTGATTAAAAATGTTGCAATTTTGTTGTTATTGAGAAAATTTAAAACAATTGAACAAGCTAATTCAATTCAAACAATTTGTCATATTTGTATGAAGACCATTTGTATTTAAATATGCAAGAACATCGGTAGAACCAAAACCACCAACAAATCGAGATGTGACAAGTCTATTCACAAGGTGATGCATCTCATGTAACAAAATGTCATCAATTACGTAATTTTCTTCTCTTGAGAAAAAATGTGGCTGGTGTAATCTTTACAACGAGTTATCCGAGGAGAGGCCACTTAACCCCCACGCTAGGATGGGTGTTGACTATTTGCAAGATAAATTAAACTCAGTTTGTATGTGCAAGTAGCCAGTTCTCTTCCACGAGATCAAAACGTACTATTAAAACGATATTAAAAGTTTATTATTGCTCCGAAATGGTGCCACTTCAAATGAGACCCTCACTCAATATAGCTTGTAGATAGAAAACATGCCACTGCCATTCAAAAGCAATCTCTCATTAAAAACTAAAAATCTGGGATGGAATGTTAATGTTTCATTAGCCACAATAAACACGTCAAAGCTGTCATCCCTTCGTCCAAGCACGGATGGTTGAGAAAGAAGTAAAACTATTGTCGTGTAGCTGTACAGAATACAGATCATTCACGGTTGTGGCCTTGCGCGACCCTCAGAAAGGTCTACCCATCCGCACAAATCATTCGTTTGTCTCGGTGTCACTTGACGCAATTTAGATATTGGCATATAGCTTAGCTAGGCTATTTGCAAACTTGAGAGCAACGTGTTTGAATAAGGTTTGTCATCATCATTTGGCTGGTGCCTGGTGCCTCATATCATTGCGCCGGTCTCTGTAGGGGTACAGTCAGGTCATTACAAAAATTACTTGTACCGTGTGAAATGAGGAAACGAGCAAAGGAATCACCTCTGCTGGAAGTAGGCTATAGAAGCGATCACTGACCGCTGATGAAGGTGTATAGATCTTGATGTGCTGTTATAAGATTACAAAGTGGCGTACAAGCCACCATAGTAAATTTTCACTTTTTACTGTATTCGTAATCGTCACTTTATATTACACTCAAAAACACTCCTTTCATGATTGAAATGTATTGTGGAAGTACACAGAAAAAGTGACGTAAATCATACATTTTCGGAGAGATTTTTTCACTGTTTCTACGTGTAAATGACATGAACCATATAAAAATGTTGGAGCTCGATAGAAATTTTAAGTGGTAAAGTTCATGTTTTTGGTTAGTTTTGATCTTATTCAACAGATCGAATAATATTTTGGCAAATTTTTACAATCACATGATTGCGAGTTTGTTGTACAGATGCAAAGTTGCCAGTTTGAATGTACATACAAATATTTTTTTTGTTTTCTGAAAAAACTGCTCAACATTGCTTTACGTCACTTTTTCATCTCGAGGCAGTGTAAATGTTGGATCTCATGTATGAATCGAAACAAGCATACGCACACTCGGGTTTTTTAAATGCTGTGAGGTTCTAGAAATTATCTCTTTTGCGTTTACAAATTGAAACGCAAAAAACAAGATTTACATTCTTCTACCTTTGTACGATCCCACCGAGCACGATAAGTAGGCAATATTGATTTATGTAGCGTTATAACACAGAGGTTATAATCTATTTGTAATTGAACTCTCTTGGGTAGAACACATATTTGTGGACTCTTAAAGGGATATTATTCTAGAATTTTACTTACATCGCATGTAGAACTTGTTGTATTTTTGGTTCCATTGGATCGCGATTGGCAAAAATGTGCGGGTTGTTCTGCCGGATGGTGAATCCATGAACGAATATCTTCTTTGCATACTCCAGATCACCTTTAGTTGAATGAACGTAACGTTGCAGAAGTAGTGGATCTGTGGGGTTAAAAACGGTCGATCGGCATTGGATTATTACTATTATTAGCTACAATTATCGAATGGCAATTTAACAATCAGAAAAGAGTATACAAGTAGACGTGTAATGCGACATGCACCTCGGTATGCACGCTTTGAATTCACATTCGATCGTTCTTCCGGGTGCAATGTTGACATTGGACAGTTGGATAGTTTTGGTTTTACATAACAACAGTTGGACGTTGGGCCGTGACATAGCATTTTTTGTGCAAAACGGAACAAATCATTGAAAGCTAAATAACAGGGCTTTCGTGCACAAAGAATTTATGAACTGCAGTTTTTTTTCAATTTCCTGGCTTATCTTAAAATAATGCGTAATTTATCAAATTATAGTAAGGACAGGCATCAACCAAAAGTACAATAATCAGATTTGGGAAGAAGGACATAGTACAAAATTCTGTTTTGCATGAAACAATTATTTTCAATAAACACCAATCTTTTTTTTTTTATAGACATTTTTAGCCGAAGCCAGTTTATCTACGATGACTTTAGTACAATAATGGTAATTCTATAAAGGTATAGTCAATGGGCCCTTGAATAAAATGAGCAAAATATTTAGTTTCCCGTGCTTCTCTTATGAGTATAGTATAGTGTATAGTAATTTTATTCATATGACCCAAACTAACAGGAACTTAGAAGTTATCGAAAATTACAAAAAATCATTGGTTGATCAGCGATGATTAATTAGGTGATACATACATTTAGGCGTTTTCCGAGTTAGAATGTGCCTTGAGATGTTCAAACAAATTAATAGGATTAATCGCTGATCAACCAACGATTTTTGTGATTTTCGAGAACTTCTAGCGATTGGATCTGCTTAGAATGTTTCAGAAATTAAGTTTAATTATTATTTTAACTAACTCTTTGGTTTTTTTGGTGCTACAAGAATTGTTGACATGCTTAGTAATGTTTCGAAAATGACCAATTTCCCATACATTTTTGTATGGCGTCCTTATATTTATTTCCGAAGGAGAAAATCACATTTCCATTTATTTCCCCTGCGTACATGATGCAATTGGTTATTTCTATGGGTGATATTGTAGCATGATAATGTGGCTTCCAAAAATACATGGTTTAGAATTCCTCTGATTCTTATATTTGGTAGGCGCCATGCTTTTTTATGTGTCTTTATATTTATTTCCGGGAGTGTAGCGCCATTAGTGCTTTACTATTCATTAACCATTCAATAGGCAACAATATGAATAATAGTATAATTAATTCTAAACAAACATTAGTTCAATCATTACTGATTACAAACTTTCATGGTTCTCAGGCTTGAGCGCACCGAACAGCAGTATACTAGTGGATTGCTGTCTCGTTCGGTTGAGTGCTCGCTCTTTATAGTACTGCTATCGCTCTGCTCGAGCTTTTTCCATAAGGCAAAGTACCCAAACGGTAACAAGCCCAAGTGCATTTGGAGAACCTAGAGAATCATTTACATTCATTTCATGCATTCATTTACATTCATTTGCCTCTAACTTTTTTCATCAACAGCATTCCACAAAATGATGTATAGAGCTTTAGTAGGGTTTGTTATTAGCAACAACTTTTGCCCATAACTCAAATCTGTATCTTTTATGCATCACGAATTAGAGCGGGCAGTAGGTACTCGTTACTGTTTTTCAGTGAATGTAAAATACATTCACTGAAAAACAGTATTGGGTTCTGTTTGCTCTGGTTCGTCATGCATAAGATATACGGATTTGAGTTCTTAACAAAAGTTGTAGCTAATAAAAAAAATCTACAAAAGCTCCATACATTATTTTGCGGAACTCTGTTGATGAAAAATGTTAGGGGCAAATGAATGTAAATGAATGCACGAAATGAATGCAAATGATTTTCCATGCCTGACCTAGAGTCTGTGTATAAGAGTCACGTCAAGACATGTGTCATTTATCATTATATCAGAATTATCTTGACAACAAATATTACAAATTCTGATTACTGATCATTACACCCAACCGGTGGATGTAAGATTCGCTTACAATTATGTGGGATTCATCATCAGAGGATGTAAGTGGAGACCGCATGAACCGAGGATGCGATATACCTAGCTGCGGTCCAATGCAAGAAAATTGGAGACCGAAAAATGTAGAGTGTATTAGTGAGGTAAATTAATTATGTCGAAAAAAAAATAGGAAAAAGGTTACCGACTGGACTCGAACAACGAACGTTGCGATTATCAGACCTGTGCTTTCTCCACTGCTCTCTCCATGCTTCTGAATAAGGATAGCCTAAAAGCAAACAAGAAGCGCTCATTTCCTCTCACACTCGACTTCGTATGCTTTTTCTGCTGGAGAGATTCGAGGCAAGGGTGTGCGTCGTTCTACCAACAATCAATACAAAACTAACGATTTTAAATTGGCTCACCACTTTAGTAGCCTATTGGTCCCAAGCAAACGATTAACGTACCCTATTCTAGTTGAAATTCTATTACTACACTATGTTTGTTTTGATTCGCTATGAAAGTTTGACAAATAACATCAGGGGTGTGTGGATTCATGCAGAACATGCAGGGGTGAGTGAAATAGCTTGGGACTGCTTGGGACCATTGTTCTGGTACTGAGTGAGCCAAAAATAATAATAATTTTCTTCGGGACCCAGTGGTCTTAGAGTTACCTCTATGGTTCTACCATGTTATACATAAAAATCAAGGCAAATGCTTGCTTGTGTAGGTGAAAGCACAGACAGAATACGAAATAAAAAAGGCAAAAAACCATGACATCGCCTGCAAGGTCAACTTCTAACATTCGCTGCGATGTTCATGAACAGAGGATGATAGGAACTGGAACTAACATTCATTGTAATAGATTTTTGGTTTGCGTGTACCAAACATATCCCATGACAATTCAAAGCTCACTGCGTGTTTATGATCATTTCTTCGATTATATTTTATAGGGGAAATGGATGTAATGTCAACCTAAATGCCCCTTATTTGGGCCCATACATAAATTCAGCAATCGACTAACTAAAAAAAATCCATTATTACCGTCCCAATGACGCGTTCATTTAGATAAAATTGATAAATAGCAGATTTTTAGCGATGGGCCCAATCTTAGATCCAAAGGCTAACAGTAGAGCCATTTCCCCTATTTTATTGCAATACCATGCAGCTTTCATGGAGCTTTCATAGGATCATATTAATGCTTAATAACTAACCGGTTTGAAAGTTTGACTTGGCTGCACTCTCATACACCGACACAAGAGGAAAACATGATGTTCAAAAATTTCGCCAAAAAAATTACAACTTTACACGACCACATTACAAAATCTGTTCATATGGTGAAATATTAAAAATGTTGTATACTTTTTATCGGGGAATAAAAAAAACTTTCTGTAAACAACATACGACAAACGAGCATGATTGTCATTCCACGATTCCACCATTCCGAGTATCTTGTGTTGCAACTTGAACTTATTGGTATAATGTTCGCATACAACATTGTCTATATTTCTCCACTTTTTGATTCCTTGCTTCTTATGCAAACCTATACAACACTTGTTCGCTAACTGGACGTTCGTTAATTGGGTAGCGAGTAAAGGGCCCACAAACCATTTGTTTACAAATGGCTTTTGCGCCGTTTTCAAATGTTAGCACTGATATTACATGATAAAAGCCATAGTCTGTACGGAGTATAAGAATACAACGATGCGCTTATTAGATTAGATTTAACTTCTTTGAAATATTCTTTACTCATACACTGTGAATCTTTTTAACGCAAAATCTAGTTTGAAATTTATGCAAACACACACACACACACACAAATCTAGTTTGAAATTTATGCAAATTATACTTACGAATATTTTGAGGTAAATGAGGCTGGGTTGTGAGCCATTCCTTCAATGCCGCTGCACCTTCTTCCCAGTTGATTCCTTTTTCAATACCCATCTTTGCGTTGAATGGATCTGTTTCGATCTGCTGTTCCGGTTGTTTTAATATTCAAAACGCACTGTTGAATACATTGAACTTTATTGTGTTTGCTTCTGGTTTCTTTTTGTAATCATACGCGGTTTTCAGTAGTTTATAGCGACTGGTCGTTGGGGTTTATGGAGCAAAAAAGAAACAATTCAAGAATCTCTTCTCTTTCGATGACGTCAATCGATCGACCACTAAGCAGAACGGAATGCTCAAAGGTATCGCTTATTTACAATAACATTATTTCAATGGCAATGGGCTTGTTTATCGGAACTGAACGTCGTAGATCAATTAAAATGGTTTTATTGAGCGGTCATTGAAACAGCACGCTTTCTAATTAAAGATATAATTTTGTATGTCCTTAGTTTCTCAATGACACTGATGAAACAGTGCTGACATATCAGTTTCAAAATGATCGCAAGATTTATTTTTAACACCTAAATGTACAGAGAAAACGAAACCTTTTGTGATTATACATGAGATTTGCAACTAAAATCCATTTATGTGAACGAGCGTAGCAGAAACATGAATGACAGCGGAGCGATGGTCTTAGTAGGCGAGTAAACTCATTAATAGGTTTGTGACTTGTAAAAGAAAAACAAGAAATGCGCAAACCGTGTCCCATCTGAAGCATACAAACCGGTAAACATGAGCACCAGCGAGAGGCGAAACCGCGGAGGAAGCAATCAGTAGACTTTTAGTTTTACAGCCGCATGACTGACCATCGATAGCGACCTTGACTTTGGGATTGGATTTGTGGGATTTGTGATTTGGATGTATTTAACCTCATGACAGAGTTATCCAATCAAGTGTAAGGGTGTCAACAACAACGTCCTAAGAGGGGTTACACAAACTTTGAAACTGTAAGTAATGCGGAAAAACTAAAGAAGAATGTCACAGTTTTAAATGTTATTTTCGGTTGGTGTAACCTCAAGAATGGATCCAAAGTTTTCATTGGATATCTCTCTAACTTTTGAAAGATATATATATTCTCGCTTCTGGATCAAACTGAATCTGCATATATTAATTTGGCTTGTTTTTTGGAGCTCGTTCTGACTCAAATCGAATGGAAATATTATTAGCATAAATATTCTAAGGGGGTAAGAAAAAGTTTATTCTTCTTCTTCTTCGCATTTCAAGCTTATTGCATATCGCATATTAGCTTATTTCGTGCTCTCAACTTAGTGTTCTAGATGCACTTCCACAGTTATTAATTGAGAGCTTTCGATGTCTGTAGCATATTTTTGATCTATTTTAAACTCCCCTCCCCTCTCATAGCTTATTTTGCTTAAACTAATACATGGCCAGTTACAACTTCAGAGTTCCCCCCTCCCCCTCAAATTCTACGTAATTTCTGCATGTTTCCTTGTACACTCAGGTCTTTTTTACACGGGGGATACGGTCCGTGTAAAAAAAAACCTACGAGATTTTGATTTTTCGCATGTTTAAATATTTTTAAAAAATCGGATTTTGATGCCATTTGTAATTAAAGCATGATATGGTCCATATAGACATATTTTAAAAATTTCTGTATTTACACCAAAAATTGTGTTTTTTTTTTAAGTATGCCATTCGATTACAAATAGCTTGAAACGGATAATGTGATTGGAATCAAGTCGATAGGTTGTATCGTTGTCGAGAAATCGTTAAAAACGTACCGTGTAAATCGTGGAAAACCGTGTAAAAAAACCGTGTAAAAAAAACCGCGTAAAAAAACCGTGTAAAAAAAGACTTCAGTGTAGTTAGTTTTACATTCATAAACTATGATTTGAAAATAAATAATATATGATCAGTTACTCGGAAAAATCGGAGACCGCTACATGTGAATATCATCGACTGACCATACCAACTAGCGGTTGGTCTATCAATCCAAAAATTAACACCAATATCCAGTTAATAAAAGTATATCATTATCTCATTATCGTAGTCTTATCATGTGTCATGTAGCTTTCAACTGGCCCACATTTATATGCGAAAAATTTTATATATATTTTTTTCAAACGGGTTACACCTAGATTTGCTTTTTAGGTGAGAAAACCACTCACTGAAAATTTCAGCTCATTCGGATGTAACACGAACTGGCGCTTAAGGTTTAAAGTTCATATGCATGGAAAAATGTCACTCCTTCGACCTTTAGTGCATAGAACTGGTTCAGTATACTCGATTAAGCTCAAAATGTCAGCACTTGTAACTTAAGCTTAGTTTTATACAGATATTGTATTTTGAATATATGTAAGCATTTCGTTCGTATATTTAAACGAAATAGAGGTAAATTGGCCCAAAAAATAAAAGTTTATATATTCCACGTGCAAACACCCACATTCATGACTTTAGGTAAGAAAAGCACTATCTTAATTATACAGCTGAATGTAACACGCACTGGATATAAAGTTTTTTTTTTATGTAGAAATGTAGGCTCATAAACATTAAAAAGCGAATATTTCAATCAAACTAACTGGATTCATGATGCAGGTTTCAGCAAAGTTACTACTTATTGTTTGAACTGTTTGAAGACTTCTGAAAAACTAAGTTAAATCCATTAAAGAACCATTTGTATGATCGAAATAGTGAAGGGCTTTCAAGCTTTTTATTCAAAATTTCCTTATAAAATTCAAACTAAAAGCGCCAGCTTATCTTAAAACCTACTAATAAATGAGCTAAAACTTTCAGGCAGTAGGAAAAATCCAACATTTATTTTTTAGATTATATTTTTGATCTCCCGAGCAATCTCTGAGATCAAGTTGAAATCTAAATTTGATGTTGTGATTTCGCTGATAATGATTATACAGGTTGCTGTCGTTGTGGTCGTTTCAACGGTTAAAATATCAAAATTGAGAGCAAAAAAAATCTTCCTGTGACATCACATTGAAAACTATTTCTGCTATCAGTGAGAGCAAACTGAAAACCAAATTTGATATCATTTTTTCCTGTTGATAACTAAACAAGTATTCAATTTGATGTTATACTAAGCAATGAAAACAAAATTTGGCATCACATTTGTCAATTGCGTAAACTGAAATCAAATTATGATTTCAGTTTGATGTTGATATCAAAACTTGATTTCAATTTGCTGTTGTTTTGATGCTGAACTTTGCTCGGGGAATGTGACATGCGAAAATTTTAAGCCTGCTGCGGTAGGTCAAAAGAAAAAAAAGAACAGTCCAAAAACAGTTTACTGACCATGAAAAAAAAACACATTTGTCCAGCTGACGTGTAACACCAGGCACCGGTTCTGCTGAGGGTCATATGGCTATTAAATTTTCAATACGTCATCAGACATCCGTGCAACTAACGAATGGATTAAATATAAAATCCAGCGTGTAATTAATTCAGAGTTGCCGAATTCTCGTGGCTATGCAGCGTATCTGCCTCTGAGGTTGAATTGATCGCTCCGATGGGCAAGTCCTTCTGTATAAGATCCAAGCCAAAGCAATCGTTTGATGTACTTTAGTTCAGATTGACTGGCGAACACAAAGTTGTCTTTTAAAATAAAGCCAACTATGACTAGGTAATATGTATTTTGCATACTAACTTCCTATTGTTCACAGTTACATACCTTAAGCATGTGTTTTATTTAGGTACTTAACAAAGCAACTTGATTGCCCTAAACAAAAAGACTAATCAAACTCAGTAACTTGATTGATTCAATCGCAAATATTTTTCGTCGATGGCATTCTGAAGGACGGCCACAGAGGTGGAAATAGAAAGTAATTAAAAACGTTCCAACTCGCGATTCATTCCGTTGCAGTAGTTTCCAAAATGAGAAAAAAAATATGCAAACTATCTGACACGAATTAATGTCGGCAGTTAGATTGATGGAGAACGATGAACAAGACACTAACGGATGAGCTAATCTGCAGATTTCGCGCGCAAAATGTTTCAAAATCTAAACTAACTTTCGTTGGCAATTGGTGCAATTTTTACGCTAAACTGCATACCTATAAAACTGGAAGCAAGACAAGTTTTGTAACATTTATATTTCAGTTTGAGTGACAAGAAATCTGATCTAATATATGTTGGTTGGTTGGTTGCCACCATAAGAGTGATTTTCCAACGGGATAGCAAGATTTTTAATAGCAATGGTTTAAGCTTTAGAGGGGGGAGGGGTTGGAGGGTATTGAATAAGATGGCTTCTTAATTTGAATAAAGACATTTATATACATACATACATTTACATAAGGTGCTATCCACAAAATACGCACACAGTACCTATAGTCTACGTTTTTATGGTGTTAAGGAATAATTTTGAGTATGTTACATTTAAGTATAATTTTACAAAATTAGATCCTTTTTGAAAAAAATTGTTGGTATACGTGGTAACTTTTATTATTACAGAACTTGTCTACCAAATATTTTTTTGTTTCCACTATTTTTCGATATTTTTGATAAATCTTCATATTTTTTTGTTGCACTACTTTTTGCGCATAGGAACGACAGCTTACGGTAATTCATTGAAAATTGTTGTGTCAGATAGATTCGTCACAGTACACAGTAGGCATGGAAATTACTAATGGTACGGGATGATATTTGAGCTTGTGACCCTCAGCGTGAAAAGCATGAAAAATCGTTTCTATCCGTATGAACCAGTTTTTTAGTTTTTCCTTCTTTATAGACAGTAGGTAAACAGATCAACGAACCCATCGTATTTTGCAACTCTCAGGCACTGCTGCAGAGCGTATGTAAAAAGTAAAAGTGATCTGATAAACAGGAAGCTATCCACATCACAATTAAGAGCTTGGTTTGCTAACCTGTTTTCAAAATTGAATAAAAAAATACTTCGCAACCACCAAGAACCTTTCAACAAGAAGGTATATTGCATTTTTTTTTCTGCAGGGAAACCCACATCTCCAGTAAATAAAAACGAGATGACCTTATTTCATGACCCGATATTTTAATCAAATTTCCAGAAGATAAACCATCAATTATGATCATCCAGCGTAATAAAATAATGAGTGTACTCAAAAATGTAAATTTCCTGAGAAATCTATAATTTTATAATACATTAATAACAGAATAATAAGTCCGAATTATGAT